ATATGTAGACCAAGCTAGCCTTAAACTCACAGAGACCCGCCTGCCTCTCCTTCCCAGCTGCTAGGAATAAAGGCAAGTGCCAACACACTGGCCTAAAAAGGTTTTTTTTTGTTTTTTGTTTTTTTAAGAAACAAAAGAGATAGGAAGAAGAAAGGAGGCAGGGTGCTGTTCTTCCACAGGCATGCTTTTCGGCTGATCCAATATTTTGGGGAATGAGTGACTCCCTGATTCAGAGTTCTAGTTCTGGAGATAAAGTCCGGTTGGAGAGGTAAGGGAGATAATCAGGAGATGATGAAGACCAGAAAGAGTGTGTAAATCTTACAGGTGACGCCAGGTGGAAACTCCTTCTGCTACTGTTGTGCCCTCCTCTGCCTGCTCATGAGATGGCAGGAAGCCAGCAGATGGCCAACAAGGGCCTGGGGGCCAACAACCACGCAACCGGGAACAGTGGACTCATCCCACCAGGAGAGCAGCTGGAAACAGCTGGACTGCTTTACTTCAGTATCACAAAAATGCCATAGCATTTTATGGTTGGGCACCATGGCCAGATTTCTGGCTCCTCCAGTGCCTGGTTTTGGTGAGATTCCTCCTCAAATCTTCTCTGAGTATGAAATGGACTGCTGCATTTCCAGGCCTTAATTGTCCGCAGCAGCTAAAAGCTCTGCCAGTAATGAAAATACATCCCCTCTTTTTATCAGGAAAAAAAGGATGATAACTCAGCCAAGTCTAGCTTGCGTTTTATGGAACATCAGCCTAGCTTGTTTCCAAGGACATCTGATGTGAGGCATGAAGGCTGCTGGGAGGTGGGGTCTGCTGAAGAAAGGTCTGAGAATCAAGGGCCAGAGGGTACCAAGGCTGCCATCCCCACGCCTCAGAGTGCACAGCTTTTTGAAACGTCAGGTATCCCTCCCAAGGAGTGGAAGAGTGTGTTTGAAATTCTGCACTGAGGGTATAGTTAAGTGACATAGCATAAGCTTAGCCCGGCCAGGCCCTAGAATCAAACCAGTAAAATAGAGTAATTAAAAACAGAGAGTTCCAGGCCTGCTGGCTCATGCCTGTCACCTCAATACCTGAGCAGTAGAGGCAGGAGGATCAGGAGTTCAAGGCCATCTTTGGTGACAGAATTTGTCTTAGTCAGGGTTACTATCTGTGATGAAACACCATGACCAAAAGCAAGTTGGGGAGGAAAGGGTTTATTTCACTCACAATTTCACATAAGAGTTCATCACCAAAGGAAGTCAGGATGGGAACTCACGCAGGGCCAGGAATCTGAAGGTGGGAGCTGATGCAGAGACCGTGGAGGGGTGTGCTTGCTCATCATGGCTTGCTCATGCTTTCTCATAGCACCCAGGACCACCAAACCAGGGATGGCACCACCCACCATGGGCTGGGCCCTCCCACTCAGTCACTAACAAGAAAATGCCCTGCAGCTGGATCTTATGGAGGCATTTTCTCAATCTCCTTTCGGATGCCTCTAGCTTGCGTCAGGTTGACATAAAACTAGCCAGCAAACAGTTCAAGGCTAGGCTAGACTACATGAGACAAAAAAAAAAACAAAAAAAACCCAACAAGCAAACAAACAAAGCAAATGTGTGTGCACATTCATGAGTGTCTCTGTGTGTGTGTGTGTATCTATTGCTGTGTATGTGTCTCAGTGTCTATATCTGCATGTGTGTGTCTATGTCTGAATATCTGTCTGCATATCTGTGTATGTCTATGTCTGAGAATGTGTGTCTGTGTCTGTGCATTCCTTCGCTTCTCATGAAAGACGAACAACAGCAATAATTTTCCAGGGATGCAGATGCCCTCTCCTTTGATGCTTTCAACATCCCTGAATGACTGATGGGGGAAATGATGGTATTGTGTGTATGTGTCTCTCTTTTAAAGAACACAAACAAAAACAGGATCTCACATAGTCCAGACTTGCCTCAAACGCACTGTGTAGCTGAGATGACCTTGAACTCCTAATGCTACTGCCTCCACCTCCCAAGTGCTGGGATCACTTGTGTGTGCCGCCATCACTGTGGACGCAGATCATTCTGCAGATAATAAAGCCGAGAAGTAAACGTGACCTAGGCGGTGTTCTCAGCAGACGCTGAGTGTCTGATGCTGGCTGAGCAGTTCCGCATCCCTCCACACCCAGAGGTGGGATGAGTTCTCGAAGGTAGGAGTTGCTAGAGGAAGTTTCTGGTGCAAACCAGGTGAGGTTTCTGGAGATTTAGGCAGTTCCACAAGATTGCATTCCAAGAACCTAGAATCAGTCCTTGCTTTCTCAGCCCCTCTCTGTGACCTTCTGCTGATGTTGTAGCCTCCCTGACCTCCACAGCCCATCTTGTCCCTGTGTGGACCCAGCCCTTCCTCACTTCAGTTGTGAAGCCTAGTTGTTGTTGTTGTTGAAATCAGAAAGAAGGAGCAGCTCTTCAGTGAAGCTCTGTAGATATTCAAGTCCTTCTGATGCCCAGCACAGCCCCAGGACTGGCGGTCGGTTCTCTCCTGCAGGGCCCAGCTCGGGAATGGGCATGCCGGAGGCCTTCCATCCTCCTTTCTCACTTGTATCATTCTGCACCTAGGACGATGTTGATTTGCAACATTTACCAACCTTGGAACCCTGTCTCTACATCCCTAGACTTCTTTGCGTGTGGGGTTGGGTTGAGGATGGGAATGTGTGTGTGTGTGTGTGTGTGCGTGTGTGCGTGTGTGCGTGTGTGTGCAGTCACATGTGGAGGCCAGAGGTCCAGGTGTCTTCCTAGCTCACGCTATCTTATTTTTTGAGACGGAGTCCCTCACTGAACCTGGAGCATACTAACTTAGCTAGACTGGCTGGCCGGCGAGCTCTAGGAATCCCCCTGTCTCCATCCCCCTGACCCTGGCACTAGGTGCACCCCTGTTGGATGCTAAAACTCCAAACTCAGATCTTCACGTTCGTGCTGTAAGCGTTTTGCCAAAGGAGGCTTCTCTCCAGCCCTCCCTGGGCTTTTTTAGGTACAGTAAGAAAACTCCTCCTCATCACGTCATTTTAAACTGGGACTTCTCTTTCTCTCCACTAAAATCATCCCCAGTGGCGCACTTCCTTTCTGGTCCTCAAGCCCTCTGAGCTCCCTCTCATTCAGGGTATCTTTGCTATTCTCACTGTCTGGAAGAGGGCTCTGTCCCATCTCACATGACTTCCCATGTCACATGACTGTTTCCCTGTTGTCTAGATGTCAGCCCAAGTATCATTTCTCAGAGGGACCTATAGACCACTCAGTCCAAATGAGTCTTCAGCCAGGCATGGTGGCTCACACCTATAATCTCAGTACTTGGAAGGCTGAGGCAGGAGGATTGCCATGAGTTCAAGTTCAGCCTGGGCTACAGAGTAAGGGTCTGCAGTGAGGGGAAAACAAAACAAAAATGTTCTGCAAGTAACTGTGTTTTCCTTACAGCAGTTACTTGGCATGAGAACTCATCTTTCTCTGTGTTTGTTGTGTGTTTTCCTCACTAGACTGTGAGCTGCGCGCGTGCGAGAACTGTTCAGCTTGCTCACTCCCTGCTCCCAGCACTTGGTTCAGGGCCCAGGACACAGTAGGTGCTCAGTAAGTGGCTCCTGAATGAATAAAAGAATCCCTGTGACAACCTCACTATTCTGCTCCCCAGCCTCCTTCTCTCTTGCTGGCCTTTCATCGATTCCTTTTACCAAAAAAAAAAAAAAAAAAAAATCTAAATTTCAAGACCAGAAAGAAATATAGAAGGCAGCAGATAAGGGAAACACCATAAAGCAAAATTATTTTAGGCTTCAATGTGAGAAGAGAGCAGGCTGATTGCATAACGTATGTAGATCTATGCAAATTACCGAGCAGGTTAAATAGAATTGGAAGTAGCGGGAAGTCCAAAGCTCATGTTGGGTGCATTTTTTTTTCTCCTTGCTGGGAAATGGCATCAACTGCTCAGGCTTAGAAAGTAGGGATGCTGAAGTTCCGTGAGAGGAAAATCAATGAGCATTACAAAAGTAAAAAAAAATAATAATAATTTAATTTAGCTCAGGTTTTTCTGAGACAGAAATAAAAGTATTCACTCATCCACTTCAAATAGAAGGAACGGGAGGCACAGAATTCTATTCATAGTCAAGCTTACAGAAGGAAGCTCCACAGGGAAACGAGAGAAAGGACAAGGGGCGAGATGTGACCTCCGAGTTCCTCAAGTACTTCCGTGTCCGGAACCTTACAAGGGCTGGGGTATAGCTTGGTTGGTAGAGCGCTTGCCTAGCACACACAGAGCCCTGGGTTTGATCTCCAGAACCCATTACAGCTCCCCACCCCCACATAATCCCAACACTTGGGAGGCTGAGGAAAGAGGCTCAGAGTTCAAGGTCAGTTTCCATCCTTGGTTACACAGCAGTTCTGAGGCTGGATTGGGGTACATAAGATCCCATCACAGAGAAGAAAGGAGAAAGAAAGAAAAGAAAAAAATTAGCGGGGCAGTGGCAGCACTCGGGATTAGGGACAGGTAGATCGCTAAGAGTTCAAGGCCAGTCTGGGCTACAGAAGGAGTTCCAGGACAGCCAGGGCTACACAGAGAAACCTTGCCTTGGGAGAAAAAAAGATGAAGAAAACCCTTATTGACATTTTTTGACAACTATTTTCTGAGTGTTACATGTGTGGGCTGACCCATGTGTTGGTGGATATCTGCAGCAGGCTGTGGGCACAGCACTCGTCCTCATGAAACTTACAGCCCATTAAGTCCTAATTTACTGGGTGAAGAGAAATATCCTTTACCTGTCATCCTTAAAAGAATAGATCATCCAGCAGGGCAGTGATGGTGGGTGCCTTTAACCCCAGCACTCAGGAGGCAGAGACAGGTGGATCTCTGTGAGGATTCCAAAGAGTTTCATGTTGGATCTTACATGTTGGATTTTCTATGATATTATTAATTTTGAACATTTATTTATTCATTTGTTTTGTATGCCTCTTTATTCATTCATTCATTTTACATGCCTCTGGGCATGTCTATGTGGATGCTTCCAGACAGCCTTAAGTAAGGAAGAAAGGCAGACCCTGAAGGCATGCAACCATGATGGAATCCTGGACTGAGTAAACAGACGAAAAGGAAAATACACCAGCATTCACCAGTCTCTGCGTCCTGAATGCAGACATGGAGTAACTTGCCAGCCTCATGACCCTGCCGCCAAGCCTTTCCCGCCGCCGCGATGGACTGGATTCCCTGAAGTCAGCTGCCAAAACAAGCCTTCCCTTCCCTAGGTTGACTTTGTCATGTATGGTCACCATGGCAGCAAGGAAATTCACTCGTGCTCCCTCCTGACGTCTCCCGCTACACAGCAGCCACAGCCGCCCTATGAAGATGAGAGTCACGGTGTCTCTTCCAGCAGTAACCCTGCACTAGCACCTTGCTCACTCAGAGAATGGACATTCTTCGGACATTCTCTTGCCCCCTTTCACCTCTCCCTCACATTCACCTCTCCCTCCAGCTCATTCAGCGCCAGCCAGCTGGCCTCCTCCATCCACACACTCCCACAATGCCACGCTACCCTTCCCCCTCAGCATTCCTCGGCTGGGAGCACTGCCCCGTCCTGTGGCTCACTCCTCTTTTCCAGGTCCTGACTTCCTGGTCACCTTCTCATCAAGGTCTTCTTCCCTGATACCCTTTTTAAAGCCACGGACGCCTCCGCCCCACACACTCCCATCCTCTTTCCCTGTGTTATTACCCTCCGCTGCTCTTACTGCCTCTAACTTACTGCATATTTTACTCATCTGTCTTGTTTATTGCCTGTCTCTCCCCCAACAAAGTAAAGCTGTGGGAGAGCGGGGAGTGTGTCGGTTTTGTTCATGGCTGCATCCTTAGTCTCTTGAAGAATGATTGACAAATTAAACGCTTCAAAGTATTTTCTATGGCTCTTTACTTTGAATTAACCATTTTCTCATGGAAAATTCGATAACATTATTAGTTTTGTTATTTTACCAATGACCAGAAGATTGCCGAAGGCTCACATGCATGCTTTGAGAAGCCATGGCCCCAAGGCTGCAACTTTATGGATGCAAATCCTGACTCTGAACCCCTCACACAGGCCCCTACCAGGGTGAGTCCTGTTTGACACTCAGCTCATATCCTCTAGGTGCTGGAACAGCAAATGTCAGAGCCTCCTCCTAAACGCAGGCAGATTTACTCTGCAGACGGTAAGGATGCATTTTAATTTGTTGATGTGAAATCTTAATTGAACTAAACTGCTAGAGGTAGTCTCTGTTCTCTGTCATAGTCTTAATTTAGTTGGCAAAACAAGATATCATCAGAGAAAATCACAGGCAAAGATGCCGTGCCCAGAGGGTTTGAGGAACACCCTTCTGCGTTGGAAGGTGGGCTGTGTGTGACTGGAATGAGCATGCTCCCCATGCACAGCACTGACGGTGCCACCTTGGCTTTCCAGGGACATTCAGGTCCCAGTGCAAGGGCTAAAACATGCCCACTTCCCACAGCAGCCATGCGCAACACAACCCTGTGTTCAGTGCTTGCTTTTGAATATTAAAAGTGGGAAGAAACGTCGGGCTCACTACCTCAGGGTTCAGAAGTGTCCGGACGGACGGCAGCTGTAGCGCTCATGTCTGTGAGACCGTGAGACGGTCACTTCCCTACCTGTACCTTGGTTTCTCTACCCATGTTGGAGGCTGGAATCTGTGGCCTTAAATGCTTCTATTGTCAATGTGTCCTGGATGACTCTCTCAAGACCCTCACTCAGCCTCCAAACATTTATCTAGGTTCTTGACTGTACTGTCACCAATGGCCTGTCTTTGACAAGAGACCAGGATGTAGGACTTTCACTAAAGTGCCCTTATCCCCTGTTCATAGAATCACAGGTTGCTGTTACCCTGTCCCAAAGTGAACCTTAGGGATAATTTGCTGCTTTCCAAGCTCTGGTCCTCAGGGGCCGTCTATCCATCCATGCACCTACACTCCTTGCCCCACCCCAGCAGCTTGTCTTCCAGGCTTGTTCATATCTGTAGATGCTTCTGCTGGGATCTTATTCTAAGAGCCCTCTGCCACTACAGCACTGCAAACAGGCAGAAACAATGTCAGGTCGTGTTTGGCAGGAATGGGCTCCCTAGGTTCCATACTGCACCTCTGCGGTGTTTTATTCCAAGTTTCCGTAGGGATATCCCAGGGAATTACTCAGGCTTCAGTAGCTCCCTCTAAAGGACAGCTGTGGCCCATCCTAAGCTGGTAGTAGAACTTGGCAATGTTATCCATATGGTAGAACTCATTTTGCAGGCATGAAGGATGCAAGATTGAGGGGGCTGGGGCTGGAGAGATAGCTCAGCGGTTAAGAGCACGTGCTGCTCCTCCAAAGGACCCGGGTTCAATTGCCAGCACCCACGGGACAGCTCACAAACTAACTCCAGTTCCAGGGAATCTGACACCTTCACACAGACATATATGCAGGCAAAACACCAATGCACATGAAGTAAAAATAAGGGGGGGTTGGGGATTTAGCTCAGTGGTAGAGTGCTTGCCTAGCAAGCACAAGGCCCTGGGTTTGGTCCTCAGCTCCGGAAAATAAAAAAATAAATAAAAATTTAAAAAAAATTAATTAATTAAAAAAAAGTTTGGGCGGTGGTGGCGCACGCCTTTAATCCCAGCACTCGGGAGGCAGAGGCAGGTGGATCTCTGTGAGTTCCAGGCCAGCCTGGTCTACAGAGTGAGTTCCAGGAAAGGCACCAAAACTACACAGAGAAAGCCTGTCTCGGAGAAAACACAACAACAACAAAAACAAAAAACAAAACAACAACAACAAAAAAAAAAAACAAAGATTGAGAGGGCCAAGGAGTTTGGCTTCATGGTTTCAAATAGCTGCTGGGGCCAAGCAATGTGTGGCAGGGTTGGAGTCCTTTCAATGTGGCCCTGAGAGGCCACTGTATGAAGCTACAAAGACAAATCCTAAATTGCAATGGGATCTTAGGATGTTGGAGATGCCAGGACCATGAGACATCTGCCAAGGAAAGCCACAGGCACAGAGTAGAGCAGGCCCGAGAGAGAAGATGTGTGCTGCAGGCAGCAGATCTGCAAAGCCAGGGCTAAGCCCTTCGGAGCCCAGATGATTCCCTCTGTACTCCAGATGCCAGACATGGAGCTGCAGGATTTGGTGTTCGCACTTCTTACTGGGTTTCAGTTTCTCTTTGGTCCCATCTTTATCTACTAGGCTCCCATCCCTCCTCTTTTGGAAAGGGAATGTTTGTTCTGTGCCATTAAATATTGAAACTACGAAATTTGTTCATCTGGCCTCAAACTCACAGAGATCCTCCTGCCTCTGTCTCCTGAGGGTTGGGATTAAATACGTGAACAACTGCACCGGGCTATACTTACATTTTTAAACAGTGATGGGACTGTTAAAGCTTACGGGGCATGGGTCTTCTAGAAGTTAGACTAAATGTATTTTGTATTATAAGATGGATACGAGCATATGGGAACAAAGAGAAGAAGGTGATGGCTTAAAAGTTTATATGTTTGGGCCAAAGAAATGGCCCAGTGGGTAATGTGCTTGCTAGCAAGCCTGACCCCCTGAGCTCCCACCCAGGACTACATGGTACAAGGAGAGAATTTATTCTTTCAAATTCTCTTCCAACCTCCACTTGCACACCATGGCATGCGTGTCCAAGCACACAATAAAATAACATAATAAAAATTCTCTTTTGCAAGGCTTGGTGGTATAGGACTTTAATCTTAGTACCTAAGAGGCAGAGGAAGGTAGATTTCTATGAGGTTGAGACCAGTCTGGTCTACATAGTGAGTTACAGGATAGCTGGGTCTACATAGTGAAATGCTGTCTAAAAAAAAAAAAAAAAAAAAAAACCAAAAAACAAAAAGATGGGTTAAAGAGATGGCTTAGCCATTAAAAACACAGGCTGCTCTTCCAGAGGACCCGCCTTGATTCCTAGCACCCACATGGTGACTCATACTTGTCTGTAACTCCAGTTCCAGGGGATCTGATGCTCTCTTTTGGCCTCTGGGCACCAGGCATACACATGGTGCCCAGACATACATGTATGCAAACACCCATGCATATAAAAATAAAATAAAATTTAAAAATTAACAAAAACAACAACGTAAAGAAACAAAACAAACAAACGAACAAAAAACCACAAGCCTAGTATGGAGGCGCACACATTTAATCCCAGCACTCAGGAAGGAGGCAGAGGCAGGCAGATCTCTGAGTTTGAGGCCAGCCTGGTCTACAGAGTGAGATCCAGCTGGGGCTACATAGTGAAACCGTGTCTCAAACAAACAAAAAGTGACGTGTTTGAATATCAAATTGACAAGGGTTAGGTTTGTGCCAATTAATATTGACTGTCAATTTAAGAGGATCTATTAAATGATCCTATGGCGTATGAGTGGCATATTATCTAGATTAGGCTAATTGAGATAGGAAAACCCACCCTGGATGTGGTCTTCAGCATTCCGTGAGCTGAGGTCCCGGGCTGAATAAAGAGATGAGCACTGCCAGGCAGTGGTGGTGTACACCTTTAATCCCAGCACTCGGAGGCAGAAGCAGGAGGATCTCTGAGTTCGAGGCCAGCCTGGTCTACAAAGGGAGTTCCAGGACAGGCACCAAAACTACACAGAGAAACCCTGTCTTGGCGGGGGGGGGGGGGGGGGGGGGGGGGGGGGGGGGGGGGGGGCATTCATTGCTGTGTGCTTCCTGACTGCAGATACAATGTGACCATCTGGCTCAAGCTTCTGCTGCTGTGACTTCCATTTTATGATGGACTGTACCCTTGAACTATGAAATACAATCCTCTGTGCATGCAAGTGTGTGTGTGTGTGTGTGTGTGTGTGTGTGTGTGTGTGTGTGTGTGAGTGTGTGTGGTGTGTGTGTGTGTGTGTGTGTGTGTGTGTGTGTGTGTGTGTGGTGTGAATATGAGTCATAAGGAAGCCAGAGTGGGACCTAGGATGTCTTCCTAAATTTCTCTCCACGTCATTGCCTTGCGGCAGGGTCTCTCACTGAACCTGAAGCTTGCTGTTTCTGCTAGGCTGAGTGGTCAGTGGGCTGTAAGGATCTATCTGCTTCCATCCTCCAATGCTGGCATTACCGGTATGGTATACACAACCATTCTGGGCTTATGTGGGTGCTGGGGATTTGAACACAGGTCTTCATACTTGGAAAGCAAGCTCTTTTGTGCTCTAAGCTATTTCCCCAGCCCCAACCCTTCCTTCTTCTGTTTTTGGAGATACTCTGTGGGTTTTTTATTAAATGTTTCTATGTATGTATGTATGTATGTATATTGTGTGTTTATGTGCATGTGTGTGGACATGTGTGTGAGTAGAGGTCAGAGAATAATTATGGGAGTCCGTTCTTTCTTCCTCTATGTGGGTCCCAGGGATTGAACTCAGGTTGTTAGACTTGGCAACAGATAAGCGCCCTTACCCACTGAGCCATCTTGCCAGGCCTCAGATTCTTTGTGACAGGGACAAAGGAGGACAGCTTCGGGGAGTCTTTTCCCTCCACCATGTAGCTCTCTGGGATTGGACCCTGATTATCGGGCGTGGCTGCAAGCGCCTCTACCCCCAGAGTCATTTCGATGGCCACTTTACTCTTCTTTTCTTTGAGATGGGGTAGAGGGAGGTGCTCACTATGTAGCTCAGGCCAGGCTGGAACCTGCAATTTTCTATATCGTTTTCTACCACTCGGTTCTTTTTACAGAGGCTGGCTCTCATGCACGCTAGGCTGAGCGTAAATTTATTATATGGACAAGGCTGGTCTTGAACATGACTCTCCTGCCAGCGTGAGCTATAGAAAGAGACCCTGTCAAAAAAAGACTGAAGATCTAATGAGTGTCAGAGCACCTGACCTCACATACGAAGGCTGCAGCAGTACTGTAGCAGCAACAGAGTACC